AACCCCTAAACCCTAAACCCAAGGACCTCCGGGCTTCCGCGACATGTGTTCTGAGCACGGGGCAACTCGTAGCCAAAGGCCACGTCATCCACGAGCAAGGCCCTTGAGCCATCCTGGAGACAGTGAAGCTGAGAGTAAGCTAGGGGCCTTCATAGTTAGAATAGAGTTTTAAGGCCCACCATACTAAATTAAAAATACGGAACCCCAAAATAATATTGGTATTTATTTTGGCCCCTATATTAACCCGTTTTGTACCCCTTATAGTACCTTATAGCAACCCTTATGATAGCTCTTATACTCGCTTCTCGCTGTTATTGATTAACACCAGTCCTCGGTGGTCCGGAGATTGCGGTGGATTGGACCGTGAAGAAGAAGAATCGTTGCACAGTCTTAGCCAACAAATCCCCACACCCTCATGTCCAATGGGCTCACTTCGGGCTGAAGGTTTAAGATGTACAGTGTTTGCAGACGAGGTTTCAAGCCTGCGGTGAAAGCCTGTCACAGTAAGGTCAAGGGTTCCAGCGCAAGCCCTATAAGATTTTATACCCCCCAAGGGCATTTGCAACTGTTCGAAGCCCTACACCCTCATTCCGGCCCAAATCCCTAAACCCCAAACCTGCATTAGGGCCGTTATACCCGAAACCCTAAACCACCAAAACCCCCAAAACCCCCTAAACCCCCTAAACCCTAAACCCCAAAACCAGCAGCCCTAGCTATAGTCTCCATTGTAGCTCTTTTTGTTGTTGGTTTAACCAGCTTTATATTAAGGATCCTAAAAGCTAACCCCAAAAAGGAACTACAATGGAGACTATAGGTAAACCACCGGTGCCCTGTGACGCTGCCCGGCCTTCAGGAGCTCGTCGCCTCCTTCCGGGTAGTAGGGCCTCGACGACGGACTTACCTGCACTACGATAGCCTAAAAAGGGTTTAGGGTTTAGGGTTTTGGGTTGAGGGTTTAGGGTTGAAAAGGGGCCTTAAGAATTAGCTTGGGGTATAGTGTCGGAAAGTATTCTAAGGACATATAAGCACTGGAAGGGGATACTAGCACTAAGTACTCAGACCCCGCAGCGTAGCAAAGCCCACATCAACCGCAACACTCGCGCAACTACTCGATTCAGCCACACGAACACCTAGACCTAGACTTATAGGAACCTGGCCAGGAAGCCCTTTAGGAAGCTAATGTCGGGACCCGTAAACCCTACATGCAAAACCTTAACCCTAAGGGTCCAAGTACCCGTTATTTAAGGACTTTGGGGCCTTTCTGGGTCCCTAAAACCATGAATAAGGACTACTTGGACACTTAGGGCAAAGCAACCCGGACCTCCCCCTGAACTCTCGACCCAGCTTGTCTGCAAGGACTTTGCTCCGGTAGTCGAGGAGCAGCTACCTGGCCAATTCAGAGTACTGCAGGGGCCTCAATAATAATTAGAATAGGGTTTTTGGGGGGTTCCTGACTATAACTATAGTATAATATACCCCCCCCCAAACCCTATTCTAATCATGAAGGCCCCTATATTACTGGCCGTTGGGGTTTGTAGGTTGAAGCTAGTCACTCCGCAACCTCTCACAAGGTAGTAGGATGTCTCAGAATGAGGATCCTACTGAAACTTTGCATGTCCTGGTGCCTGGGTTTATAGTAGGTGTCTTTTGTCTGACACACCAGTACAAAATGCTGAACCCCAAACCCTAAACCCTAAAACCCTCAAACCCTAAACCACTCTAAAGCCTCAAACCTACCCTAAACCCTAAACCCTAAACCATCAAACCCTAAACCACCCTAAAGCCTCAAACCTGGGGGCGTTTAGGGTTTGTAGGTCATCCCGTCTAAACCCTAAACCCTAAACGTCAAGTCTGGCTCGAAGCACTCGCCCACAGTCGAACTCCTGAAAGGCAGGGGGGCTCTGAGCTGGAAGGTGAAAGCTTCATTCAGTTTTGCTGTTGGTTGTTTAGGGTTCGGGTTTAGGGTTTAGGGTTTAGGGTTTAGGGTTTAGGGCTCAGGGCTTAGGGTTTAGGGTTTAGGGTTTAGGGTTTAGGGTTTAGGGTTAGGGTGTGTATTGCGTAGGGCACTGCATTCTTGAGGGCTGGACGGTCTGGAATCTAGGCACAACATAGGTTAGGATTCAGGGTGAAGTCAAAACTGGGCTGTTCTTGTTTTGTCAGTAGAAACACAGTGTTCAATACCGCCTATAAACCCGAAACCCTGAACCCTAAACCATCATTAAAAAACCGCCGAGGAAAGCGTAGAAGGGCTCTTGTGCCCAAATGTTACGCACTTTGGCCCTGCAGTCCCTACACAAGGAGTTAGGATTAGGGGGCCTCTCAATGAGGTCCTTTAGGGTTTAGGGTTTAGGTTTCAGGGTCTAGGTTTAGGTTTTAAGTTTTAGGGTTCAGGTTTTGGGGTTTAGGGTTGAGGGTTTAGGGTATTTGAAGAGAGCCATAAGTAGGGTTCAGAGGGGTCCCCTTTAAGGGGTCTCCCGGATACTGCTTAGGATATCTAGGCGTCGATCTTGGGACTGTTCCAAGGCCAGAGTCAAAGTATACGCTCTTTCCGTACAGCCACGGACCCTTGGGAAGAAACGCCGCCAACGAATTCCGTACTATAGGAGCCTTTAATAAGTCGAACAGGGTTTTAGGGTATATTCTATACAATAATTACAGCAAGGAGCCCCCCAAAACAGCACTGGTGTTCTTTTTAAGGCCCCTACATTACACTTAACCCTGAACCCTAAACCCCTAAACCCTAAACCCTGAACCCCTAAACCCTAAACCCTAAACCCTAAATCCCAAACCCCTAAACCCTCAACCCTCAACCCTAAACCCTAAACCCTAAACCCTCAACCCTAAACCCTCAAGGTCCTCACGGAAGACCGGAGAGCAGCGCTGACGGTAGAGCCAGCATTCGCCTTTCCCAGGCTTCCCGGTTTAGGGCTTATAGGGTTTATAGGGTTTATAGGGTTTATAGGGTTTAGGGTTTAGGGTTTATAGGGTTTAGGGTTTAGAGGGTTCGGGTTTAGGGTTTAGGGCTTATAGGGTTCAGGGCTTATAGGGTTTCGGGTTTAGGGTTTAGGGCTTATAGTGTTTAGGGTTTATATTTTTTTACGGTTTATAGGGTTTAGGGTTTATAGGGTTTAGGGTTTAGAGGGTTTAGGGTTTAGAGGGTTATGGTTTAGGGTTTATAAGTTTAGGGTTTAGAGGGTTAGGGTTTAGGGTTTATAAGTTTATAGGGTTTAGGGTTTAGGGCTTATAGGGTTTAGGGTTTAGGGTTTATAGGGTTTAGGGTTTAGGGTTTAGGGTTTATAGGGTCTAGGGCTTAGGGTTTACAGGGTTTAGGGTTTATGGGGTTTAGGGTTTAGGGTTTATAGGGTTTAGGGTTTAGGGTTTATGGGTTTGGGTTTAGAGTTTAGGGTTTAGTGTTTTTAAGGTTTAGGGTTTAGGGAACCTCAAACCGTACGCCCCGAACCCCAAACCCCGAGCCCCCCCCTAGACCCAGAGCCCCAAATCCTCGAACCCGCTGGTTTCAGCTAAAGCATAGCGGCCCCTGCTTTAACTTAACATCTCTTCTAGGTTCATGCTATGAGTCGAACAACGACTTCCCACAAAGCTCATTTATTGTAGATAGTTAAGCTTAGGGTTCAGAAGTCGAAGGTCTTGCGCTTCCGTTGGGACGCGGTAAAACCAGTTTAGGCTAGACAACGTCGGGCTCCGGGTTCGCTGTCCAGCCAACCGAAGCAGCGTGAAACCCAGGACCACAACCCTGACCTGCAAGATCAAAAACCCGAACCTGCCAAGAACTAACATGGGGGATAGGGGCCTTCAGAAGTGGGTCAGGGGTCTGGGATTGACACAGATGATGATTGCAGTCACCACTGGCAAGTGATTACCAGTAACCTGACAGGAAGAGGCAACATCAGATATGCAGCAGTCTCCTAGCTGCAAGACTAAAACCTCCTCAACTCATTTTTTTGCTGAGCCCCAGATCTTGCCACCCATTGTGCAAACTACGGTGATGATCTAAATCCTGCAGTACACAAAATAAGGAAGATACCATAATTCTCATAGTTTAGGGTACTTAAGGTAATGCAGGATTTATATCATCAACCGTATATCGCAGAACCGAAGGCCCCTGCATCCTTATGAATCGTAAACCCTCACACCGAAGCAACATACAATCACCGTCACCTAAGCGTAACGACCTTGGACCCTTCCAAAGCCCCGCAAACCTGAACAGCCTAGAAAACCCTTGTTGATAAGTGCTTTGGACCCAGAGGAAAACCAAACCCTACACCCTTGCACTAAACCCTATACCCTATACCCTTGGCCCTAAGCCCTAAACCCTATACCTATACCCTTCGCCCAAAGCCCTAAAGCCCTAAACCCGAAACCCTACAACCC